GTCTTTTCTCCAAGCTAAAGAGCCCCAAGCGCTTTAACCTTTCCTCATAGGGAAAGTGTTCCAACTCTTTTATCGTTCGAGTTGCCCTTTTCTGCACTTTTTCCAAAGCTATAATATCCTTTTTAAGGTGTGGTGACCAGAACTGCACACAGTATTCCAAATGAGGTCTCACCATTGATTTATATAGGGGCATTATGATATTGGCTAAATCAATAGTGAGACCTCATTTGGACTTCACGATGCTTCTTGATAAACACAGCTACTCAGATTAAACAGTGTTATTTTCCTCCTAACCTGTCGTCATACTGAAGTCATCTGTAAACTGAACTAATCAGCTCAGGATGGGTAGCCACTGGTTGTCTGTCCACAGCAGGAGAAAAGAGCAAAGAGTCCGGCAGCACCCGAAAGACAAAACAAAACTTGTGGCCGGGGATGAGCTTTTGTGAGTCACTGCTCACTTCTTCAGATACTGGAGATTCTGAAGAAGTGAGCAGTGACTCACGAAAGCTCCTATCCTGCCACTAATTTTGTTTGTCTTTAAGGTGCTACTAGGAGCTGTGGTGGCTCAAGTGGTTAAGACGCTGAACTGCAGGCTGTGGAAGGTCGGTAGCTCAGCAGTTCGAGACCCGGGTGTGCCGCATGACGGAGTGAGCTACCGTCTCTAGTCCTAGCTCCTGCCAACCTAGCAGTTTGAAAGCAAGACATTGCAAGTAGATAAATAGGGACCACTTTGGTGGGAAGGTAACAGCGTTCCATGCGCCTTGGTGTTTAGTAGTCATGCCGGCCACATGACCACGGAAATGTCTTCGGACAGCGCTGGCTCTTCAGCTTGGAAACGGAGATGAGCATCGCAACCCTAGAGTCGGACTCGACTGGCTTTCGAGCAGGGGAACCTTTACCTTTAAGGTACTACTGGACTCCTGCTCTTTTCTACCAATCAGTTCAGACACTGGTCTATAAACCTGAGTTATGCAGGAGGGCATTTTGACATAGGTAACAGGGCTGTACTGTACGGAAATGGTTCAGAAAGATGCTTTGGCAAAGGGATAGGGATTAGACGACTGTGTACAGTACACGCTGTCTGCCGCTGAAAGTATGATCCTCCTATTTAAGCGCCCCATTGTTTAACATGCCATTAATGCTTATACTTTATTTCAACTCTGTTCAGATCTCCATCACGCAAATCCTACTGCAGTGTTTGTTGGGTGTCCCACCCTGTTGATTGTATCGATTTACACAGTATAATCTGCCTTGAATCTCAAAGAGGAAGGTGGACAATAAATAAAACATTTGCCCGTTTTCAAAGCCAACCACCGCCCACAAAAAAAGCAGATCAACGAAACAATATTCATTGTTGTCTTATTCGTCCTTAGAATGATACCCATTTTACACCTGAAGCCAAAATGTAGGGCTCTAGGGATCAGGTACAAGCCCTTAGGCATGGTGTAGGGCGCTAGTGATCAGGTACAAGCCCTAGGAGAAGAAGGAACTCAACTTCTTATTTTCTACCAAGTGAAATATGGTATTAGGCAGACACAAAGGCCACACGTATCCATAAACTCTGTTTGCACCAGTGTTCCTGCCGGCTCCAGCTGTATATCTATTCAGGCTGGCTCCAGCTTTACATCTATTTAAAACATTTACCAGCTGCCTGTCAACCCTACGCAACTCAAGGTGGCATTCAATGTAAGGATGCTTATACTTTATTTCAACTCCACCACTCAAATCCTACTGCAGTGTTTGTTGGCTGTCCCACCCTGTTGATTGTATCGATTTACACAGTATAATCTGCCTTGAATCTCAAAGAGAAAGGTGGACAATAAATAAAGCATTTGCCCGTTTTCAAAGCCAACCACAGCCCACAAAAAAAGCAGATCAACGAAACAACATTCATTGTTGTCTTATTCGTCCTTAGAATGATACCCATTTTACACCTGAAGCAAAAGTGTAGGGCTCTAGGGATCAGGCACAAGCCCTTAGGCATGGTGTAGGGCACTAGGGATCAGGTACAAGCCCTAGGAGAAGAAGGTACACAAATTCTTATCTAACTCAAAGTCTTGTTTTCTACCAAGTGAAATATGGAATTAGGCAGACACAAAGGCCACACGTATCTATAAACTCTGTTTGCACCAGTGTTCCTGCCAGCTCCAGCTGTATATCTATTCAGGCCGGCTCCAGCTTTACATCTATTTAAAACATTTACCAGCTGCCTGTCAACCCTACACACTCAAGGTGGCATTCAATGTAAACAGGCCATAAAACAGAACAATACATAACATAAAATGCCATGAATTAAAATAACAGTTTAAAACTGCCGACAGGCAGAAAACATAACTCATTGAATGCCATCCAGGAACAAAACCATTTTCAGCTACCTCCTAAAGCTCAAGTGGGGGGGGGGACACCTCCCTGGAGAGATTGTTCCATAACCCTTGGGCTGCCACCAACAAGTCCCTCTATCATGTAGAAGAAGAGGAGGAGGAGGAGATTGGATTTATACCGTGCCCTTCACTACCCAAAGGAGTCTCAGAGCAGCTTACAACCTCCTTTCCCTTCCCCTCCCCACAACAGACACCCTGTGAGCAGTGTTCCCTCTAAGCTGAGTTAGTGTGAGCTAGCTCAGTTTTTTAACCTCCAGCTCACACACCTTTGTCTCAACTCAGGAAGGATGGCTCCAGAGCAAACAAATTTATGCGGCAGCCAAATCGCTCGCTCACAACTTCAATGCCAGCAGCTCACAAAGTAAAACTTTTGCTCACAAGACTCCACAGCTTAGAGGGAGCGTTGCCTGGGAGGTAGGTGGGGCTGAGAGAGCTCTCTCGAGAACTGCCCTTGAGAGAACAGCTCTGAAAGAACTTGCAGCTGACCCGAAGTCACAGCAGCAGCTGCATGTGGAGCAGTGGGAGACTCAAACCCGGTTCTCCCAGATTAGCGTCTGTGCTCTTAACCACTACATCAAACTGGGTCTCTGTACCCACCAGACGAGCTTCTTTGGTTGACAGGACAGTCAAGAGGGCCTCGTCCTGTGATCTTCATTCCCAGGAAGGAACGTATTTAGCACTTGTCTGGGTGCTTGGCCACAAAGCTGGTTTCACGTATGCCTCCCATGACTTCCAGACATTATCTGCACGCAGGAACTCCTGGTATATATCAGAATCCCACATTCAAGACCCAACCAGTCATTTGGCAGTTCTACAGTTCATGCCACCCACCCTGGAGTTGTAGGTAATAGCCAGAGGCAGAGCTTCTCCGCCATCTTCCCTGGTGACGTCTTCGTGTCACTGCACCCGTTAAAACAAAAGGTAAGTGGAGAAACTTCGGTATTTTCTGCAAGACGCAGCCTCACGGCTAGTATTTTGGAGCCACGAAAGGTCCTCTTGGGATGCCCTCGCTCCCAGAACCAGACCCGTTTCCAGAGCAGCTTAGCCCTGTCGGTGGTAAGGGAAGGTGCAGATCGCAATCTTACGCACACTTTTATCAGCACTGAAGTTAGCAGTGCTCACTCCCAAGTTGCCTAGAAATAGGTTGCGTCCGTCTCGTTTTCGCAACTTCAAAAACGCCAAAGGGTTTCTGCAAGGTCCTTAAGAGCAGCTCCGAGTTCTTGGGAAACTACCTGCAGGGGGCGGCGCAGACTGGCACAGCAGGGGGCAGCTTCCAGCCACACAAAGCTGCAAAATGCCCTCCACACACACACACACACACTAGAGGCTGCCTGATTGGGGGGGAGAAACATATTCTATTCTCCTTGCAATACAACTCCTTCCCCACGAAAGAAGCAACTATGCGGATCTGGTTAACAATTCTCGCAACTGTTCAACTGTGGTCCGGTTCTTTGTATTTTAGTAACCTATTCAATCAGTTAAGAAGCGAAATGAGTTGGTAGAAAAAAGAAGTTAGCGGTGGGGAGGAAGTTACTCTACACTCAGTGAAGTTGGGGGGCGGGTGGGCGGGAGGGAGAGGCGTGAATTAGGTTGACCCCAAACAAGCCAGTTCCTCCGGCTGGGTGTCGACAGAGAGGGTGGGGGGCGAGGAAGGAAGACAAACCGACGGAGGCCAGAGACCACTCCAAAGGACATTCCTGTTTGGGAAAATAATAATAATAATAAAGGAAGCGCCCCTTTCGCGACCCGCCATGGAGGAGGGGGAAACCGCGATCTCTCCAGCGGCTCGACTCCCGGCAGGTTTCCCTAAGGAGCCCCCCCCCCCGGAGGTGGGGGGACTGCTGCAGTACCCCCCAAGTAGCAAGCAAGCGAGGAAAGCAGGGCTGGATCAGCTCGTTTCCCCGGATGGGAAGAAGCGCAAAGAAACCCAGCAGGACGAGACGACTAGCCAGGAAAATGGAAGGAAGGCGTCAGGTCCCCCCCCCCCTCCAAATTTTAAAACAGATTATCCCAGTGGCCTTTGGGAGCGACGGGGCCCAAAGCTTTTCTTGGGGGAGGAGGAAGGCGGTTCATTCATTTCGCAGATGCTGAAGGCGGCAGGAAAGGAGAAGCGGGCGGTCGCGTTGCAAAAGAGCGTCTCGCCACACCTAAAACTTCCCAAAGTTAATCACAGTCGGAGTTTCAGAGAAGCCCAAATGAAGCAATTTTTTAAAAGGGGGGGGCTTTTAAAAAGGGGGGAAAGCAAGCTGCTGGGGGGGGGGACAACCGAGGCCTCTGGACCACTTAAGGGGGCCCGTTAAGCCTCCCCCGCCGCAGAAGAATAAAGAGAGAAAAGCGGCGAGGGTTTTTGCTTTAAGTGGGATCGAAGGGAACTCCGCCGAAGCGAGTCCCTCCTCGTGCTGAACCCATGATCGGACGCTTCCAAAAGTGACCATTTTTAAAAAACGGACAGAAAATCCGTTCCCCTCCAGTGGCAGGCAAGCCCCCGAACCCTTTTCTTTCTTCTCGCGACACGTGCTTTTTGTTTAAAGTAGATGACAAACTCCCTCCGACGGGGGGGGGGGGGTTCTGTGGTTTTTTAAAGCCCCCCCCCCCCTTGTATTTTTAAAAGCAACTTACCCAGCCAAAAAACGCGGAGAGCCGGCAGGGAGGGAGAGAAAGAAGTTAACTCGGCTTCCATTCCGTGAACGGCACGCGGGGAGGAAACTCCGAAGCCACCCCGCCCGGGGCTCCGGCTTAAAGCTCCTCCCGACTCCGAGCGCGCCTCGCCAAATGCGCCTTCGCCAGACCTCAGGCAGGATAAGAGAATCGCTGAGCTCGCCAGC